CCAGTCTCGTAATTCACAGATTCTGATATGCTGCTTCTATCTGTTTCTTCAAGACAAGTGAAAGCTTGCTCAGTGCAAAGATTATTTAAAACTTTTATAGCAGCTCTAGTTTTTTGTTCCACTGCAGAGCAATAGTAAAGCTTGGATGAGCTATGGCATGTCAAAGCAAACTTTTCACCCAAGTGAAAGCACTTACCAACCATTGTAACCTTTACTGTACTTCAGTTCCTAAATAGCAAATATCTGACCCTTTTGCTGTTAGCCTGTGTGGTGAAGTCAGGAGCTATGACAACATTAGACAAAAGTATATCCCACTGCACTCTGGGAAATAACACTGGATTTTAGGTAATCTCACTATGATCCAATGGCACAGTCTTAAGATATGCCATGTCCTGTGTTGAGTGTTTGTGTTGCTGTTATATCTCCAAGGAATACCTACATAATGATATTTCCTACTGCAGATAAGTCTTCCAGGGGAAATCAAAGGTGGCTGGAGGAAATATTTGCAATGTTGTCAGTCTGTTCTTATGTACTAGGCTGACAGGCTAAAAAAAAAAAATTAATGTTTTGTAAAAAAAGGAATGGATGAAAAAAAAGAGAAGCACAGAAGTAGAAAAGCCTCTAAAACAAAGTAAAAAAAAAGAGAGATGATAAATAGTAGTTCATGAAAAGAAAAAGGAAAGAGGAAAATACTTAAGATAGCACTAAGCAGATGCAAAAAGGAAACTATGAAAGAAAACATACAAAAAAGAAATGAAGAAATACAGAAAGATAAGGAAAAGTGGAGGAAAAGAGGATATGCAGCAGCTCATTCGGGTTTGTTTTCTGCAGATTTAATTATTTCATTAACCAGTCCCAACACTGAACAACTGAGAAACACTAAAAGCATTACTGGTGGTGGCAAAGCTTATACGAGATTCTCAAACACAGGAGAACCTGCCCTGCATAATATTTGTACTCCTGTTTATACATGAGATGCACCTCAGTCATCTTACAATATGAACTCAGAGGGTTAATTTTCTTTTCTAAACAAACCAAACCAGCAAGTAATTATCCACAACAGCATTATTTTCAAGCACGACTGAAAATATTGCTTTGTTTTGCTTGGAAGAAGTTAAAGTTCACAAAGAACTGTTGCTGCAGAAGGGCTAGCTGAGAGCTTCACTGTGTGAAAAGGTTGGAGCAACAGTCAACAATAGCTTTGTATTGAAATTCACCTCTTTCCAGCAGATCTGCGCAAGCATAAATATTTTGCTTGGGTAGTCTCTGGAAGATATCACAATCAAAAACTTTAGACATTCTTTATGGCATTGTGACAAAACTACAAATTGACATGAATATTCATAAAAAAAGAAATTTTAGATACTGTACTCCAATATTTCATCAGTGTGTTTAAATAAAGTTAAATAACTGTAGCAGCTATGGCAAGCCTAATGTAGCCATGGCAAGTCTAATGTATCGTCATAATATTAAGAGCATTGGGTTTTATGTCCATGGATAAAAATCTGAATCAACATTGAGGGCGTAAAATGTAACTCAATTTATTAATTAGGCTGTATGAGTCTTGAATATTAGTCAGATAATGTATTGTCATTGATTTTTTTTATATAATTACTATTTATTCTTTCCTTGAGAAAACTCTCCGAACATACATATAAAAGTGCTTTAACTAATGTCTCAGCAATTAAATTAGGCAGACATTCTCTCTCCGATTTACTTCAGTAATGAGTGAGTGATGAAACACAGCATTCTTATTTATTTTAGCAGACCAACGCTTAGATGTTCGGCATGGTTTAATGCTGGGATTAAAATTTGGAAAAAATAATAAAAATTTAACAACTTTTGTGATGCTTCCTATTTTCAGCTGAACTGGAAGTACTATGGGAAAGGTATTAATGAATGCAAAATCTGACTCAATACTTCAGCATTCTTGATCCCTTTGAAACTAGAATGGAAGCATTTTTTTTTTGATTTTTATTTTAAAAAATAAAGTTACTGTTCATTTAAAAACAATTCAAAGTTTTACTTGCAAGTTTAAAATAAGATGATTCTAACTGGATACTCTTCTGTCCCTAAAATGCACTAATTCCTGGATCACTTTTTCTGAGTGGTGGTGAGAAATGTAAAATCTTCCCACACCTTTATCAGCAGAAAATAACAGACCCTGAAAAGTGGTAAGACTACATCTTATTTACCAGTTAATTCTCAAGTGAATCAGAGTCTGTGCCATGCATGGACATCAGCTGGAAGTTACTTCCGCATTAAGCCAGGGACTAGCTTGATCACATTTTGTTCACATGTTCAGAAATATTCTTGGGTCTGGAGCAATTCTCATGGCTAATGGAGGACGACTACTTAAAAACAAATGAAAACCTCAGGTGAATTAGAGCTGCTGGTAATGCTTTATTGCTTAGAGCTCCCAACCAGCTAAATTGTAATTGCTTCTATTTAGAACATGTTGCCTCTGGAAACCCAGAGTAATTAAAGCGACTGACAAAATAATAACACAGAGAGAGGAAAAAGTCTGTAGCAGCAGAGCTGTTTTCTGAAAGGGAGAACATTAAAATAAACCTGTACTTCAGGTAATACACTTTTCTTTGAGCTGAGCTGAACTATTTGAATAAACATGATGAGCAAAACCTTTACTGCTGGCAGTGGAGTAAGTAAACTTCCTCATCCTTTCTGTTAAAGAAAGATGTTCTTGCCTGAATATCTACAAGAATGGCACGCTGAACCTTCTCTTTATACAGGGCAGTGATTTCGTACTATTCACAGGTAACGTGTCAAGTTTTACTGTCTGAAGTTCTAAATGGTTACTCAGAAATAGTTATTGTTAAAAAAATAGCACCCCCTGCTAAGTAGCTGTTCTTCGTCAGGCACAGTTTTAAAAAGCCAGAGGTCGGTTCTTCCTCCTAAACCACTGTGGTTCAGCATACAGATTTTGTGTGGTTTTCTTGCCTCTCTACATGCACAGACTTGGCCTACCTGGCTTGTAATGATTATTAGGATAGGACTCTTCACAGCACAGTACAAGACCATGAAAACAACAGAAAGTTAGTAGACAGTTAAGCAGCAGCATCTAGATATCATTTGTCTAGACAGGAGATCGTATACCAAGTCATAGACTATTAGCAGACTGCCTTCCATTATACAGTATTTTATGGACTGGAGGTGAAATACACGCTTGGGGCAAGAGCAAGAGTGACTATAAAACTGGGGGAGTGAGCGGATGATAGAAGAAACCAGCAGAACTGTCAGGGTGCATATAGAACTGTAGGGTGGTTGGTGGAGACAGAAATATGTGAAAACAGGATGCCCGAAATAGGATGCCTGAGGTCCAGGAGATGAATTAGTAGAACTTGGAACCATGGAAGCAGCAGGCCTAAGGAGGAGGATTAATCCTTTCTCTCAATTAACATTTGGTCCGTTATAAATTATCAAAGAATTAGTTTCATTAAAAAAGAGAAATTAGATTTGTGTACATTTTTGGAATATAGATACAGGAATTCCAGCTAGTCACAGGTACTAAAAGTACACAACTTGAAAATTTCTCTTCTATAATGCAATATTTGGCATGAAACTGCCTAATTAATTCATGAAATTTGATTAATAGAGTTTATTAACTTTATAAGGCTAGAACGAGCACTTCTTTACGTGTATTTGCAGCTTGTTGAATAGCATTTCAAAATAGCATTTGCTTGAACCTAACAGTGGTATTATTCAGAAAATATAAACAAACAAAAGCTTCATGCAACTTGAGATTGAGCCAATACCACCTACCCGAGCATATATTTCACCTTAAGCCTTAATCAGTGTGTGGCTAATTCTCCGGAAAGCTGCTTAGTCATCACAATAATAAAAACTACGTTTTAAACAGCATGACATCTAATTCATACATAAGCTATCCTATTTGAACATTAAAGTGTATAAATAGAAAGAAATATTGTTCAAGAATATTTTTGTAACATCTGTATTACCTTCTATTTAACCATAGTCATTCCTAATTGTTCCTTATGAACAAATATACGCAAAAAAGCTTTCTGTTTCTTTGTTTTTCCCCTCATGACTCTTTAAAGTAAAGAGTGGCTAATATTCATATTGGAATCTGTATTTGCACACATACTCACATTTTTTTCTTCTGATACTGTATCATAGGCTATATTTCACTTGCAGAGTAAACACAGCCTTTCTGGCAAAGTAAACATGGCATTATAAAGGTGTTAGAATTTAAGTCATTTTTTACACAGTTCAAGTCACTTAGCTTTTGTAGCAGAAGTTAGATCATAAATTGTCAAAGCACCTGGCAGCCGGGTAAGTTCGTTACACTGATGAAATATTTTGTAAAGAGAGCAAAAATAAAAAGAATATACCTTTTTCTTTTTAAAATAATTTTGAGCCACTTTGATACTCAGAAAACCCTTCCTTCCCAAATGAAAGCTTTCTCTGAATATTTTCATACAGGACAAAACTGTTACAGTTGAGTGATAAATCCCTCTCAAACATAGTTCATAAAGACACTGACAGGTCTTCAATGACAGTAATACTGTGAGTTGCTATAATTACTGATATGTTCAAATGTTAGTTTTAACACAAAACTGTCTTCTGCCATCCACAGGCAATTATCTTTATTCAGATACTACACTCAACCAAGAAATAGATAGGAATCCCTATGCTACATATAGTATATCCTTTCCTTTAGGGAAAAAAGTGCTAGTTAAAAATTTGCCGCATGCATCAGACAAGACAAATTTGATCTTTCTCTCCTTTACACACTTTTATTTCCACTGGGAAGTAATTGCCTCTTTGCATGATTGTGCTCTGCTCATTTATCTTCTACATTCTTACAAATGCAGTGAAAGCATAACCATACTGCAGTTACTTCAAAAGAAAAAAAATCAAGATTTTGTAACTGTGGTATGCATCGAAATGTGAATGCCATAATTTTCCTCTATGCTCTGAAAAGAAAACGTGTAAGCTTCATTTTCAGTGTAATAACATACCTCCATTAACACATTCTGGGGTGAAAGAAATATCATCAAGAGCAAATTCCGTAGATTCGCTCCACCCCACTTCAGCTTCAAATGCAACTCTGAAAGGGCTGTTGCTGGAGAGGACCACATTTGCATACATCCACTTGTTTTCTTCATTTCTACTAGAAGACCACATAAGAATTTCCATTCCGTGTTCTTCAACTGTGTATACCTATTGACAACAAAACCCAGGAAATGCAAGTGAAATAACATTATGTGACAGTGGAGTAAAGCTAGAGAGAGTAACACAGCCTAAGCCCAGTAGCGCAGCTTCCTGCCTGTGTAGTATGGACCCTCTTAGCCATGGCTCAAAGTCAGACCTTATTGGTAATGATCAAATGTTATTGAATACTTTTGGTAATGCTAGTTCAGCTGAAAGTAAAAAGCTAGCCTAAAAACAAAATAAAATAAGAAGCACTGCTAATACGATCACTACTTGGAAAACCTACTGGCAGTCTTGGCTTGATGAGTAGAAGCTAATGAGTAAAGATATAATCTAAAATCCATCTAGATTGAGAAAAAGACTGAGAAGGATCCTGAGCTACTCCTTCTTCCCTAGGAGGTGACCATCTTATAGTTGTTAGACTGGCCGAAGATTTTAAAGATATAAATAAAAGATTCAGCATCAAGGGATTTCGGTCTGTAATCTGGAACAAGCAATCTATAATAACGCATTATTTCAGGAAGTGATAGTTAATTAGTCCAAATATAAAAAGAACAACATAAAAATTAATATAAATGATAAATAAACGAAAATATCAAATAGTTAAAACAATTGCAATGACAACAAAAGAATTCACAATAAAACAACTGATGAATCAATGCCACCCACAGGCAACACAGGAGATTAAATAGGTAGTTCCTCTTCCCACTTGGGTGTCCAAAATCGTTATGCAATCTAAATCAGGTCAGAAATAGTGAAAAAGAACTGAAGTAAGGAAAGTCAGCATATGCCACCCATTCCAGATAATGATTATTTCTTTAAGAGAGCGGCAATTTGATTCATTATCCTCTCCTCCTTACTTTCAACATCATCATTCGCTTAAGCTTTGAGCCTAATATTCCACTTGTCCTGGAGAGTTCAAGTTCCCACTTGAGCGCCCCAGTGTGATGAAGGAATACAAAGAAATACAAAATAGGAGACTCAAGAAAATTCTAACCTTAAATCTCTACTGATGATCTGTATAATCACAAAGCTTTGCATCTCCCAACCAACCTGGGGGACAAATAAGCGAAAAACCTAAATGGCATCTTAAATCAAGTACTTCACAGAAGTTGGTGTATAGACTAAAATAACTCTAATGCCTGAAAAGTTTTGCACATTACTTCATTTTTGGGGGAGAAGAGCAGCAAGCAGACTGATATACAATAATCTAAATTAGGCACAGCAGCATCTGGACCTAATTTAGCCAAGCCTGACATTCTGTTACTGGATTGTGTAACAGCACTATCCAGCACCTCATCTTTTAAAAAGCATGTGTCTTGCAGGTCTACAGTGATGGAAGCTGTTAAGAAGAAATAGCTGATTCAAGTCACTAAAAAAAAGAAAAAGCATGCACTCAAATTATCTGACTTAAAGTCATTAGTAAGTTGAATTCCTTATTTAGAATAACTCTACACATACGTTCAGGACTATGTTACAACACCTGTATGTGTCAATGCAACCACTCCCTATTTTGCCAGTAATAAAATATTACAGCCTCAGTGATCTAAAACCTTACAGCCTGTAATAGTGTCAGTTCCTGTGGCTTTAGCTATTATTGCATCACATAGTGGTATTTTCTATTTCTGAAAGGATAATATTGAGGTAATAATACCACTTTTAATATATCTTCTTGAAAGTTTTCACAGATGCACAAAATAAACTCTGTTGGGGAGAGGGGAAAGAACTGAAAATATTTGAAGACAATTACTAGAGTGTCCTTCAGCTGGACTTTTAAAGACTAGCTCATGGTTTGAGGTCAGATGGCTTTTTCCACTCCTTACCGTTAGTTTGGTGAAGTTTTTCATAGTATAGATTTCAAGGCTTGCTTCAGCAGTTCTGTCTATACGCAGAGAAACCGCATCATGTGCAAACTGAGTTCTCACATGGAATGTGGAGTCATTCTGCGTATGTACAGGTCAACCTTGCAGCTTATGCTCAGTAAAACCAATATACCCATCATGGAACCTGCTGTATACTGGCCAATAGGTCTAGAATGGTATTGCATTATGATGATATTGGATTCTATCCTCGTAAATGCAAGGTAATTTTATATGTCTTCCCTTCCCTTTCCCCTTTCCCTTCCCTTTTTAACTCATATTTCCCATACAGTAAGAGCATGCAGACATGTAATTATTACAGATTAGTTAACGTATGTTAACTTACGTGTCTTTGTCTCCATTTAAGTCTGACTCTAGTTTAAACCTGCTACAGGGTTTCTCATAACAAGCACATAGGTAACATGTGGAAACTGATAGAATTTTGTGTAAATTTCTCAAGTGGTGCATAAGAAATCTCAGGCCTTTTCTCAGCTCTGTTCTATTTTTCCCTGTATACTGGCAAGGAAATCCCTCAATCCCATTTTCTGCCAAAGTACTCCTCTAAAATCCAAATACTCTTAC